CATCAGGAGCAAGCACTGCATTGGATTGTTGCAAAACGTGTTACAACCATTGGTTGCTCTGCAAGGAGGAGTTAAAATCAGAACATAGCCTGTGGCAGTTCTGATGGGGCTGAGGCAGTTGAGACATCAAGAGGATGTGGTTGCATCAGCATAAAGCACTGCCTTGAATCTTCCATACAGTTTCACAACCACCAGTTGCTCTATAAGGCGTGGTCAATTCTTAGGTGGTCTGTCAGGTCGCTGGTTTGTCGAGTTCGTCGCCACCTTTGGTAGCGTTTCCAGGGCCATGCCGGGCATGCCGAGAATCAGCAGAGATCTCGAACGTGTGCCCTCTCCGCTGGCCATCCCGCCGCTATTCCGAAAGTGGACTGGCTGTCGAGACTGTCATCAGTATACTACAGCACAAAGATTAAGTAGTGTACTGTACTTGAATTTATAAAATACATTGTAGTCGGAATAATGCACACTTGCGCGCACCTCCCGCTCTAGATGCCTAGGATTTCCCACAAGAGCCAACGCAGACGCGATTTGCACGGTTTTTTTTGTTCTATCTATTCACACTATTCTCTACAACTTACTCAAGAGTGAAGCTGTGATATGGAACAACAAAAAGCCCTTGTGGGAAATCATGGGCATCTACAGCAGAGAGGAGCACAAAGTGAACAACATTCCTGGATCATATGCATGGTGCTACAGTACAATTGTCAACTTTGTCTATACTCCTGAAAGTCCCAACAGCCAGTCCACTTTTGGCATAGCGGAGAGGGCGCACGTCCGAGATCTCTGCTAATTCTCGGCATGCCCGGCATGCCCCTGGAAACGCCACCAAAGGTGGCGACAAACTCGACAAACCAGCAACCTGACGAACCACCTAATAATTGACCACGCCTATAAGCAGGAGTTACAATCAGAACACAGCCTGTGGCAGCTCCAATGGGGGTGAGGCAGTGCAGAAATCAACAGGAACACATGTAACATGTTCTGCTAATTGATATTATGAGACACCCTCCAGCCCTTCATTCTTGAAGCAAGTAATTTTCTAGAATCAGCAGTGAACACTGCACAAGATTAATGACAAGATAGATGAAGCCCCTTGCTACCATTAGTAACTACCTTCATCAATGTATGGCTCCTTTTCCTGCAACCAAACTTATCAATTGTAGTACAGTCACTTTATCCCAGATCAAGTTGCCTAACAAAGGTGTCACCAAAAGCAAATGCCCCTGCTCCTGCAGTTTACCAATTTGTATCTAGGTTATTTAAAATAGTTCAACACCATTAAGAAGAAGACCCATGTCAAGCAATCTTTATCTCAATGCTCTACTCCACAAATGTTTTCAATTCTGTACTCACACCCATAGTTGCACTTCAAACAATACAGCACAGTCCCTCTTCTTTCATGGATGATTGTGTGCCCCAGTAAAGACAGCCCACCAACTTACTATACATTACTCATCAGAGGAGCAATTCCCAACAAAACCACTTGTTCAGGCTGCTACCAGCACCAAGTTTACTTCCAAATCTGGCTCTAAAAGTGATATTTCATTCAACCTTCAGGAATTGTACTTGCTGCTTGCCGGCCTTGCTAACGCTAGTAGAGCAACTAGTGGTTGTGAAATTGTGTGGTGGAATCAAATGCAGTGCTTGCTGCTGATGCAAGCATGTCCTGTTGATGTCTGAACTGCCTCAGCCCCACTAGAACTGCCACAGGCTGTGTTTTGATGATAACTTCATCTTAGAGAGCAACTAACGATTGTGGGACAATCCGATGCAATGCTTGCTGCCAATGCAACCATGTCATTTTGATGTCTGAGCTTCATCACCCCTATTGGAACTGCCACAGACTGTGTTCTAAGTGTAACTCCTGCTTATAGAGTAGTGGTTGTGAAACCTTGTGGACCAATTGTATGCAGTGCTGGTTGCCAGTGCAACCATGTACAGTTGATGTCTGAACCACCTCACCCCCATTGAAACTGCTACAGTTGTAATTCCTGCTTAGAAAGTAATGGTTGTGAAACTTTGTGGACCAATCGAACACAGCGCTGGCTGCTGATGAAACCACGTCCAGCTGATGTCTGCACTGGCTCAGCCCCATTGAAACTGCCACAGGCTATGTTCTAATTTCAACTCCTCCTTAGAGAGCAAATAATGGTTGTGAAACCTTGTGCAACAATCTGATGCAGTGCTTGCTGCCGAGTCCTGTTGATGTCTGAACTGCCTCACCCCCATTGGAACTGCCACAGGCTGTGTTCTGATTGTAACTCCTGCTTAGAGAGCAATTAACAGTTGTGAAACTTTTTAGAACAATCAGATTTAGTACTCACTACTAATGTAGCCACAAATTTACATTGTCCAAGAATTTAGGGGTTGAGAATTTGTAATTAGCCTCCAAAGTACTGGTAGATCTTGCTCAGAGCCAATGTTATGTGTGGCATGTCTTCTAATTGTATTCCTTGTTCAGAGAGCAAGCAATGTCTGTAGATTGCTGCATGTACCTGACCAGGATTTGACATCACCTGGCAGCAGAGGTGGAGTTTGAATCTGAGTCTGAATGACTTTTCTCAGTAGACTGGCCATAACTTGATCAATTCCACTTCAATTGACAGGATGTTTGTACCACGATGTTGCCACGTGATAGGGCTATCCAATGGTGTACTATATGTACAGATTTGTACCCATATGCAGTCTGTAAAAATCAAAGACTGCATTTTTGTTGCAAAAGTGATCGGATGTAAAGAGCTGATAACAAGGCCAGTGCGACGCCACCAGCTGTATTCATTGTTTTTTAATTGACACTGCTACTGTCTGTATTCCACCATCAGATTTTCACACTTTGGGGGACAAAAAGGTCACAATTGGAAAGGAATCAATGTGCTGGAGGACACTGGAACAATTTTTCTTCAGTACTCATGAATTGTAATGTAGTTTTCCACACCTTGTTTCAAGGTTGTTTCAAGGTAGTAGAGTTCCCACAGTCTTGATAAGAGAATTATGCAGCTGTATATGGTAACTGTAGTACTAACTATTCCATTAGCTGAGACGTACAGATATGGGTTGTGTGGACTAAGTAGCACATAGCACTATAGCAGAACTGCACATATATGTATGCCTGTGTTCTAGTAGCATAGGAATTGACATAGAAAGCAAGCAGTACAACTCTAGAGAACACCTAAAGTGTATGTCTGAGGCCAGTACTAGCATGAGTCATTCACTCAATGTGTATGTCTCTGGTACAAGCGCTGAGCTTAGTCATACACTGAGTAATGCCCTTAGTATTACAGTAGAATAGCTGAAGTGGACATGTATGGTTGTTGCTTACATCAGTAGATACAGACATGTATATTAGCTGAGCTGCTGAAGCAGCAAGAGAAACAAGATTCATCTTCAAAGCTTATAAGCCTTCACCCCTTGCACACCACTTCCACTTTGCTATGTTATGAGCCCCAGCTTGTTAGCCGTCCACATTCTCAACAACATCCATATCCCAGCACCCCTAAGCTTTCTATCAAGTAAGTTTTTCTACTTTGCTCTGTTTGGCCACATAGTAGTTACAATTCATGAAGAATGAAGTAGAATTGTGCCAGTGCAGGAGAATGCTTTAATGTCTTTGTAAATGTAACACGGCTGTCCCCAAAAGTGTGGGAATTTGATGGGCAATCACTCAGTAACAGTTTCTGTATTACTGAAGTGAATTAAATCAATGGGCCTATGTTGGCTTTGTTACTGGCCCTTTAAAACTTTGTGATAGATCACATTTTTCAATCAAAATACAGTTTTTATGATTTTTACAGCTGGCAAATGGGCACATACAGGTACAAATAATGCACCAAAATTATCCACCATTGGCACTACGTCAAATACCGGATTTTCCAGCATCAAAAACGGTTGAAAAAAGCGTGAACTCTTGCACCACCAGATCTAAGATTGGATGAGCCAGAAAATGATGTAAAAATTCAGCTTGTGGGTTCTGGATTTCAACCGTTGAAAAATCATGCAGTAAAGTGTTGTGAGGTGCCAAGTTAGTGATCTAATGTTGTCCAGGATTCGTGAGGTAGCAAAATCGTAACCGTCAGCATGATTTTACTTACTTCAGAAATTTGTAATGATTTTGAAGTTAGCAAAATGCTGCACTAATTCTGCAATAGTGGCAAGATTTTGCAAGTTGAAAAAATTATACCTTAAAGAACTACCCTGGTAAGGTTCAGCCTGAGGTTCAGCCTCTGTTTTTGAGGGCCCGGAGGGCCTTAAAAAGCAACAGTCAGTTTTATAAAGGTCAAGGGGCGTTAAAAAGCGGAGGTCTATATTTGAGGTCCAAAGAGGCACAATTATACCTTAAAGAACTACCCTGGTAAGGTTCAGCCTGAGGTTCAGCCTCTGTTTTTGAGGGCCCGGAGGGCCTTAAAAAGCAACAGTCAGTTTTATAAAGGTCAAGGGGCGTTAAAAAGCGGAGGTCTATATTTGAGGTCCAAAGAGGCACAATTATACCTTAAAGAACTACCCTGGTAAGGTTCAGCCTGAGGTTCAGCCTCTGTTTTTGAGGGCCCGTAGGGCCTCAAAAAGCGACGAACAATATTTTCAGGGTCACGTGCCTTGAAAAAGAGTGTGTCAATATTTGCAGGGGCAGAGGGCTATGAAAAATGGAGGTCAGTATTTTCAGTGCCCAGTGATGTAATTGATGTAATTTGAGCAATTTAAACAATTTGAGCACGGAGTGCAAGTCCGATAAGAAAGTTGTTCACTATCGGAGGCATGGTGCAGGAGAGTCAAGGGGATTCCCCGATAGCGAGAGTCCGCACTATCGGGGAAATGAGTACTTAGGGTTTTCTCCGATAGCAGGCTACAACGTTATCGGACTGCTGGCAGGAGGGGTGGTACTCCGATAAGAAAACATTGCGCTATCGGGGGAGGGGCGAGGGGGTAGAAAAACATGCTTGCTACAAGCATTACCTGTAACGGGTTACGTTGCAGGGAATGCTTGAAGCCGCGAGTATATCGGCGTGTGGCGTGAGTGGGGATCGAACCGAACGCCCTGCACTGGAGGGGGTGCAAGGTCCGGTGCGATAACCACTACGCCACCACGCCTTGTGAGGTTAGGCTTGGTTTTGATGTATGAAGTGTATGTGGGATATCGTTTGTGCGCAGTGTACTGTGATGCCGTTGGCATGCAGGCCAAGCATGTATGGGAGGGAGACATGATGTGATGAGTGGTGGAATATAAGTGGGGCGACTGTGTTTTTGTGAATAAAACAAGATTTTGGCATGAAGCGGAGAACTATGATCTGTAACGCAGCGTGGGAATTTGTGATATTGTTGCGAGGGGGGTACAAGAGTGTGACACTGTGATGGGGGTGTTATGTAAATAATATGTCATTTTGAGCGGTTTAATGCAACTGTGAAGTTGATCCATCACGAAGCTGTCAGAATTCTTGAAGAGACCGAGATGAGTTCGCTTAGCATGCAGAAGGTATATATATAATGTTGGTTCGAGTACGGGAGGAATGTAACTAGCCCTCTGTCCTCTAACGTGCAGCTCGCGATGAACGGCATGGACGTATCCACGGTTGCGGAGGAGATTGAGCGTCTGTGTGTTGGGACGGACGCCAGCAGTGTGTGGAGTGATGGAAGTGGTGAGTGCTTCTGCATGAGTGAACGGCGATGTGAACTGACATGTGGATTGTGTGCTTAGACGAGACCGTTACACCTGCGCGGTTGTTTGAGGAGGAGATTGATGATGATGAGGAGAATGAAGATGTGGATGAGGCAGAAGATGGGTACGAGGATGAGGACGAGGAGGAGGAGGAGGAGGAGGATGACGAAGTTTCTGGATGGGATTCTGAGGAGGAGGAGGAGGAGGACGAGGACGAGGACGAGGACGGTGAGTTATATTTGGATTGCATTGGGACTTCAGTGCTGAGAGGAGTTTGAGGTTCGAAGGAGAACCGACCGCCTGTGCGTTTGGTGTTGCCGCGTCCGAATCTTAGGAAGATCCGGGTGTATGTGACGCCTGGACCTGACGGGTACGAGGGGACTGTGAGGCACCTTGAGCGACAGAGGGACCGAGTTGGGAGGACGTGGGTTCCGCGCCCTGATGGTACGGGGGAGGACCTGTACTATGTTGTGAAGCTTGAGCGATGTGATGGGTACACGCGAGTGTGTCTTCGACCGTCTGTGGGAGGTGAGCCGTTGGTTGGGGTGTATTTGTATTGCTCTGAGGAGCCTAAGGTACTTGACATCCATGAGCGTGCGGAGATGATGAACTGGACGTACGAGCAGTACATAGCATGTCTATGCACTTTGATTAACTAGTATTGGTTGTAGCTGAGTGTGATATGTGATGTATGCTGTTATGTGATTGCAAAGTGTGAATTTTGAGGTGTGGCCGAAGCGTGTACGCCAGCAAGCCTAACCGTCTCTAAAGTGGTCTGCATTGCTGTGTGCAGCGAGGTTTACAGTCCGATAACAGCTTCTTGTGTTATCGGAGTATGCAGTAGCATAGTCCGATAACAGCTTCTTGTGTTATCGGAGTATGCTACTGCATGCCCCGATAACGCAACAGGCGGTTATCGGACTATGCTAATGCATGCTCCGATAATGCAAGAAGCTGTTATCGGACTGTGTAGCTGTAGCCCAGCATAACCCCTCTCCCCGATAACGCAATGTGACGCTATCGGATGTGGAGGGTCGTCCCCTGTGAGAACCTCACGTGAGATTGCCGGAGCGGCAATCAGTCTGAGTTTGATTTGCGAGCGGACTGTTGCGATGTAATCCGATTACGATCTTCTCAACCACAACCACCACAGTCTACTTAACACACTCTCACACAACTCGCAATGGCACCAAAAGCAAGCAAGGTAAGTGAGAAGAGCAAGGCGACGGAGCAATCGGAGCAGGAGAAGGCGCTCCTGAAGGCGAGAAAGAAGCAGGCGGCGGATAACCGAAAGTACAAGAAGGAGGAGAGGGAGAGGCAAAAGGTACGTGGTGTTGAACGTATGTATTGAGTACGAATGCTGACTATGTACTGTGTATACAGGAGGAGGCGTTGATTGCGCAGGAGGCGACGCAGCGTAAGTACGTGGAGGCGGAGAAGAGGCTTGAGACGATTGGCGCGGAGGACGTTCACGTTGCGATTGGGGCGACGCAAAAGCTGCAGCGCAGCATTGACGGAGCGTTCCTGGGGTTCGCATGGCTTGACATCCTTGGGTCTCCACCGCTGTCTTTTGGGATCGAGAACAACAGGGCGATCAACAAGCGGGCGGTGGACGAGCTGAAGGACAGCATGTGGAAGGACGGGCTGCGCCGTTTTGACCGGCAGACGTTCATTCCTGTGATGCTGTCGAAGACGATGTTGAAGGAGGTGGTGGCGAGTCCTCCCCGGCCGAAGGCGTCGCAGGATTTTTTGGAGAGCGAGGAGAGCGAGGACGTGGACGTGATGGAGGGTGGGGATGGGGGAGGGGTGGGGAGGGGAAGGGGCAGCTTGTGAAGGAGTTCACGACGAATGTGGACGAGTACCCGCCGCTTGTTGGGTGCCTGAAGACGGTGCCGAAGCGTTTGGAAGCGCTTGGAGGGCAGCATCGACATGCCGCTGTTCGAGCGATCCAGGACTCGATTGACCCGGAGTCGGTGAAGAAGAGTACGCAGAAGATTGCTGAGGTTCAGGCGATTGTGGAGGAGCTGCGGAGCGTGATGTCGGGTGCGAGTGCTGAGCAATTCGAGTTGCAGGGGGAGGATTGGGAGAAGCAGGTGCAGGAGCATGAGGCGTTGATCGCGGCTGAGGAGGAGACTGTGCGACGTGTGCGTACGTTCCAGAAGTACAAGGGGAAGTGGTTGGTTGGGGTGTATGCTGAAGGTGATGTCCTCATGTTGTGTGTTTGAAGGGACCGTGCTGATTTGTGTTTACGTGCGATTTTCCAGAGGACCTGACGGACGAAACACGAAGCGCACTTGCTGCGAACAAGCACGACGTACGTTTGAGGGAGACGCCTGAGGAGGCGTTGATGACGATTTGCCGGGGCTACAAGAAGAAGCGGGACATGTACGACGTGATCAAGCAGCGGTTGGAGGGATTGAAGAGGCGGAACTCACGGGTGAAGGATGCGCTGAGGGAGGTGCTGAAGTACGAGGAGGTTGAGGAGGTGGATGGAGTGCCGCAGTACGAGAAGATACCGGACATTGCGTTTACGGCGGAGGATCTTGCGGGCGAGGAGCCGATGGAGACGGATATTGCGAGCAGGACCTTGGGCAACTGCGGGTGCAACTTGCGTTGAAGTTCAAGGGGCGACTTGTGCGACGGATTGCGCGACTGAAGCAGGAGCTGGAGGACGTGCGTGCGGAGAAGGTGAGAGAGGATGCGGCCGAGAAGGAGAGCAGACGCGAGCTTGAGGCGACGTGGAAGGGGCGAATGGTGGAAATTCAGAAGACGCAGCCGAAGGGTGGTACTGTGCAGTTGGTTCAGCACACGGTGACGCGGGATTATCTGCTCACGTACCTTGTGTACCGTGAGTATTACCCTGCGTTGACTGTTACGTCTACGAGATGGATGGCGAGGAACATTGAGAGGACGCCGGGGGAGGTGAGTGAGGAAGTTGTGAATGTGGTGTGACGCGCTAACGATTTGAACAGTTGTACTGGCGAGCTGCGCAGAAGATGTTTGCGGTGCAGGAGCTGATTCTGCGGCCGATTACGTCTTCGTGGACGTACAAGGCGGTGCTGGGTGTTGTGCAGAGTGAGGAGAAAGCGACGATGGGCCTGTGTTCCTCCGCGGTGAAGCTGCAGAAGCTTCGCGAGGCAATGACGGCTGGGCAGCTGGAGGAGCTTGGTGTTGTGACGGACTTTGAGAAGTTGACGGCGCTGACGGATAACACCGGGTGAAGATCAGGTCGTTTACTGGGAGCTACAAGCGGAGGCATGATGGGGCGCGCTGGAGCGATCTGAAGCGAGCGCACGAGTTGGAGGAGGCGAAGGTGGTTGAGGACCTTGCGGAGATGGTTGCGGCGCGGGCGACGTTGTCTGAGCTGGTTGAGCTGTGTCACGATGCGACTGGGTGCCTGACCGGGATGTGCTTACGACGACGAGGATGGAGTACTTTGACGAGGCGTACGTGGAGCTGATCGACCCGGAGAACTACATCTATGCTGGTACGACGGGGAGCAACCAGTACGACCACCAGCTGAAGGAGTACGCGATGAATGTGGCTGCGACGTTGGCGAACGATGGGAAGGAGCTGCCGAAGGACGAGGTTGAGCAGAAGGCGCGGTACGACTCGTATGCGTGGCGAGCGTTAGTTCTGCTTGGGCAACGCACGGAGAGCTACACGCCGTGGCCGCTGGCGACGAAGACCCCGCTGGAGCAGGCGTACAGGCGACTTCTGGAGAGCCAGGAAGGGATTGAGGAGGTGAGCAGCGTTATGTCTGAAGTCCGATAGTGACGCGTTGTGCTATCGGAGGACGGTGCAAGTGAGTCCGATAACGAGAGGATGCACTATCGGTGGGCAGCCTTTGCCCGCGCAGGCCATGCGTGGTGTCCGATAGTGGATGAACTCGTTAACGGACACATAAGCGCTGGGCGGCCGCACAACGGAGTGTGAGAGGATGTCCAATAGTGCCAGGGTGCACTATCGGAGGCATGCCACTGACGTGCTCCGATAGTGCGTATTGACACTATCGGAGTCATGACCAGCCGTGCTCCGATAGTGGCAATACGCACTATCGGGCACAGTCCATATAGCGTGTCCGATAGTGTGAGCGTACACTATCGGAGCTCATGCTTGTACAGTGCCCGATAGTGTGAGCGTACACTATCGGAGCACGTCCATGTCACGTCTCCGATAGTGCACACTTGCACTATCGGAGTTGCTGCTCTATTGACCATCGCGCAAGAAGGGCCACACTGACATACCTTCATGCAGCTCGCTCTGTGGTTCGCTCCGCTCATGCTCTACCCGAGCAACAACGCTCGCGGACACGGCGGCAAGGATCTCATGCAGGCGATGTTCCAATCGTTGTCGCTGAGTGGGTCGCGCATCGCAAGATCCAAGGTCGAGGCTGCCCAGGACGCGTTGTTCACCGCGATCTGGTCATTACCGG